CAAAATTGTTTTAACATTTTACAGACCGCCAAATTTATAAGAACTAATTTAAAGGAGTCAATATCTCACTAAAATGATTAAACCTCAAGATCTTGAGAAGATTGGCTAAAGATCGAACACCAAACTCAGAAACTTCACCAAAACAAAGCACTTCAGAAACCAAATGCCAATCAGCACTTCAAATTCAGCAATAGGACTATCGAGCAGCCTGTGTTTGAGTTTGGGCATGCTCAAGAAGCTGACTGACTAATTTGTATGTCCACACACCTAACCCGTACTCATGTACCCCCACCCCTCACCCTACCCCCAATCCCACACCCTTGACCCCCACCCGTTCCCTACCCCTACCTTTACCACGATCTTACCCTCCACCCCTACTCCCACCCATACCAACCCCCCACCCTACTCGTAGGGGTTGGGTCGAGGTAGGGGCAGGTGATATGGGGTAAAGGGGTAGGGGTCGAGGTATGGTAATGGGAGTGCGTGGGGTCGGGGTCGGGGGTGAGGTCGAGGTGGGGTCGAGGTAGGGGCAGGTTGTAGGGGTAAAAGGGTAAGGTTGAGGTAAGGGGTACAAGTGAGGGTAGGGTGGGGGTAAGGGGTATGGGCGTCTGGGGGTAGGGGTAGGGTGTGGGGTCAGGGTCGGGGTCGGGTCAAGGTATAGGGGAAGGTGGTAGGGCGTAAAGGGTAGGGTAAGGGATGAGGGTGGGGTGGGGTAGGGCAAGTGGTGGAGGGTAGGTTGGGGTAGGGGTAAGGGGGTAGAGGCTGGGGTGGTTGGGTAGGGGTTGGGTTAGGTGGTGGGAGAGGGGTCAGGATTGGGGTGGGGTCGAAGTAGGGGCAGGTGGTAAGCGTTAAAAGGGTAGGGTCGGGGTAGGATAAAGGTAAGGAGTACTGGTGGGGGTGGGGTACGGTCGGGTCAAGGGTGGGTGTGGGGTCGGGGTCGAGGCAAGGGCAGATGGTAGGGGTAAAAAGGGTAGGGTCGAGGTAAGGGTACAAGAGGGGGTATGGTGGGGTGGGGTAGGGGTGGGTCGAGGTAGGGGTAAAGTGGTAGGGAAGGGCGGGGGTGGGGTAGGGGTGGGGTCGGGGTAGGGTCGGGGTTGGGTCAAGGTAGGGGAAGGTGGTAGGGGTAAAGGGGTAGGGTCAGGGGGAGGGTGGGGTAGGGTAGGGCAGGTGGTGGGGGGTAGGGTCGGGGTAGGGGTAAGGTGGGGGTGGTGTATGGTCGGGTCAAAGGGTGGAGGTGGGGTCGGGGTAAGGTAGGGGTAGGGCGGGGTAGTGGGGGTAGCAATAGGGTAAGGACAAGAGGTAAATGTAAGGGTAAATCCGGAAACTGAAAAAGCTTAAAGTGTCGCTTAATTAATAATGGGGGGTGATATGATTAGTAAGCGGCACTTTAAACACCTCTTTCGATTAGTAAGCAGCGTTTTAAGCAACTTGCATGTTTACTTCACTTGTCTTAGTAATCTAAATGTGACTTTAGCAGCGAAGTAAACGCCTCCTTAGTTCGTATTCTCTAGTATTATATGAAGTATATAAATATAATGATAAAGATCAATGGAAGAGCATTTAAACATATGTTTGTGATGATTTTTACCAAAAATATTTTTAAGTTACCCTATCAAAATTTCATACATTATTTATTTTTATCTTTATACGATAGTATAAAGTAGTAAACTTGTTACTCCGTACATGTTTTGGAGAGAAAATTGTCGCCCAATAAATGATATAATTACTCAAAATTAGTTTTTCATAATAAAAACAAAACCGGTCAATGGAGTTGTTTCCCAATGTTTTCCTATTTTACTTTATTTACTTTAATTTAATGCACGAGAAATTTGCAATTTTAATCTTGTAACTTTCGAGTGTTATCGATATTAGTCCTATAACTTCGCTCGCTTGTAAATTCGGTCGCGTAACAAATAAATCTTAATAATTTAAGGATTTTTCCACCGGAATGTACACTTTTCGGTAGAAAGTACACTTTTCGGCAGAAAATCCAACGCCGATGGCATCTTTTCAGGTGTACTTTTTCCAGAAAATGTACGTTTATGAGGTATAGTCCTTAAATCACAAAGATTTACTATGTAATAGTTACGGGATCAAACTTGCAAATGATCACTAAAGTTACAAGACTTATAATAAAAAACAACCTAAAGTTACGAGACTCTAGTTGCAAATCTCCCTTAATACACGTGAAGCTATAATAGTATTGCCATATTTAAATATATATGAACTTTTACAATTGAGTTTTCACCAAATAGAAATTGCCAATTAAATAGGACCCAATTGTCATATATACCCCGCCAATGAAATTGTTACAATGCATGAGTTATGTTTTAAAATATTGCCATAAAATTAAATAGTTGACATTTTATTTATATACTACCTCTGTCGCATTTAAAGAGAGTTTTTCTCCGTATTACTGTTAATTAATTAATTAATTAATTAATTACGAAAAGTATTTACCAATATACTGCTGGGTTAACCATGGTCGTGGTAAGTCGCCCAACGGTTGGGCGACTTTCCCTTAACTAAAAACATCGACCAGCCACAAAAAAGAACGCTGCGTAAACCCAATCCCCAAATCCCCAAAACAGAACGCTGCGTAGACCCGGTTACATAAATGGACTAATAGTATAAAAAGCTAATCTAGTACATACAATGAATATGTAAACTATACAGTAATATAAATGTTGTCCGCTGGTGTACGTGAATCGTTGTCCAGGTCCAATAGTCGGCACGCCGGGAGGGTCGGGGTCCATATACTGCATCACTTTCTTTTACTGGTGTGTATAAACGATTAAGGGCAACAAAAAAATAAAAGTACAATTAAAAACTATTCGTGGTGATATTCAAATCCAAGTCCATAAGAGTAATACTCCCTCTGTCCCGAAAAGGTTGGCCAAAGTTGACTTGCACGTGGATTAATAAAGTAAAAATTGTGTTGTTGAAATTTGTGCAGAGGAGAGAGAATTAATTTTAGCCACATATTCCTTACTTTACATGGAAATGGAAAATCTTTTTGGAACATCCAAAAGAGGAAAATTGGCCAACCTTTTCGGGACAGAGGGAGTATATTAAAAAAATCTTCTCACCCAAGGACAAACTCAAAAAGATGATGGAGGTGTTTAGTTAATGGCCTATCAGCCATTTTTTGAGTGATTTGATCACTATTTACTTTTTGACCAACTAAACAGCTAATAAAGGTGTTTGGGTAATTAGTTTTTTCACTTGGCTTTTTATCCCAAACAGCCAAAATAAAAAAAGCCACTAAATTTAGCGTTCACGTCTTGGCCGATTGAACGCCAATACGGATATTCCTGTTCTACCCACGTTGCTCCCTTTTTTTGTGCGCTTCACTTCGTCTTCCACTCTTCCACATCCTACGCCTAGAAGAAAAAATCAGTCGTGAAGCTCTTCTACCTAGATAACTGACTTTCACATTTTTGGTCTTCCACATCATCACTCTCTTGCGGCAAACTTTCTCTGTCGAGTTATGCATCTTCCTTGAAAATAATTTTCTCATGGATTTTTCTGTTTAAAATAAATAACTCTGAAACAAATGAAAACTGTTGTTTTGATGTTTTGAATATGCATTTACGGTCATTCTTGCTGCTACAAGAGCATACAACACCTTATTTCAAGCTATGTTCATAGCTTGAAAACTCAATGCTTAAGTCTCTTTCTAAACAATAATCTAAAAGGTACAACACCATACAACACAACTTTTCTTTATATTTGTACTTATTATTCCATTAATTAATTTCATAGTAAAATACAATCATATTTATTTCTTAAATTTATGAAAAACAACGTTTAAAATAAGTGTTACTTGTGTTAATAATTTATTATTTGTTACGGAGTATTAAATAAAGTTCTAATAATAACACTAGCAAACATGTAATACACACTCTGTACTACGTATATAAGTGATTAGTACACAAAATAAATTAATCGATGTCCTTAAAAGTCATTTTACAGTTTATCAGCGGATTGCAAACAGCCATTTAACCAAACACAATTCTATAAACAACCAGCCAACAGAATCCGCTGTCACGAATCGGCCAACAGAATCAGCCAACAACCAACAACCAGTTGTCAAACACTCCGGATATCACATACTCCATATAATATTAACCTTCGTTATACATTAAAATTATGCTAAATGTTTTTTATTTGTGATAATTATTTTTACTACTACTACTACCACTACCGTTAAGTCAGACTATTGTCTATATATATCCAAAATGATATGGAGTATTTTTTAAAAATAATTCTGAAAAAATTAATAGGACTTCGGTTATTCAACAACAGAAAGTATGGGAGACCAATAACGAGTTTGGATATCATACAATCGGTTAGTGACGGACTCATAAATTTACGGCTCATACGTTGAAAAGCTAGTATTTATAATTATATTAAGTGAGTATCCTAAATGATCCAAATTAATTAAGTTTCATTTACTTACGGACTTACCGTTGTGAAATGTTTTCGTGGTAATTTAAAAGCGGATGTCCGTTTAAAACTCGTATTTTACGGCTCAGAAATCACCAAAGTTATAGTTGTAAAATATTGGGAAAGGGTCAAATAGGCACTCGAACTAACTAAAAAAATGCAAATCACCCCTTGTATAGGAGACTTTTTCCGGCCGTCGCCATTTGTGGTTGTTTCCGGTGGAATTTTTTGATGAAATTTTTTGAGCATCTTCTTCATTAACTCTAGTTTACTTATACCAAATTTCAGATAAAAATTCAACCGGGAAGACAGTCAAATGATTTTCTGAAATGTACTGCGTTGTTTAACTGTGCAGTTATCTTCGAAAATTCATTTGTCTGTCTTCCCGATTGAATTTTTAGCTGAAATTTGATATAAGAAACTAGACTTAATGAAGAAGATGCTCAAAAAAATTCATCATAAAATTCCACTGAAACCCCCCAAATGATGAGGAATGGAGAGAACTCCTATATAAGGGATGATTTGAACCTTTTAAATTAGTTCAAGGGTCAATTTGATTCTGGTTCCTAAAATATTTGAAGGACCTAAACATAAATTCAGAGTTCCCCTTACCCACCATTTATCAGAGTGAGTTCCAATAATCTCTTCTTCCCTTTTCTCATCAGCTTTCAACCATCAAGAATAGCGGCAATGGCGACGTCTCTTCGTCAAGTCCTTTTCATCTCTCTTCTACTCCAATCCATCATCTTCATCAAAGTCAGAAGCGATGGTTTGTGATTTTTTCTTCTTTTACCTGTTTCCTTTCTTTTTCATTGTGCTTCAGAAAAATGTTGTGTTTAATTCCAAGCTGCTTTAGTGAGCTCGTTTGGAGTAAACTTTATATGTGAAGCGTTGAGGGTTTAGAATTAAGTTAGGGCTGTTTGGTACTTGACAAATTTGAATTGGGGTTCGGAGATCTGGATGCATCTGCATTGTATTTGTTTTTTACTTGATTTTAAAGTGCTTATTCAGTGATTGTCTGTAAGTAACCATCATCTGGTTGACTGGTTGGGCTTGATCTGCTAAAAATTGTTTTCAATCTCTAATTTGAGTTCATCAGAATAACAAATGGAGTGTGGGTGACAGCTCTCTTGGGGTAGAGGTGGTGGGATGGAAGGGGTGGGTAAGTAGGTAACATCTAAAAGTCATTTTCATTCTCCATTGATATCATTTTCCATGCGTATCAAACACTTAAAAATCTGGAAAATTATCTTCCGGAATTTATTGTATGCATTCTCGAAATAATTGTCCTGCTTTCCTTTTCGGTCCGTCCTGAAATAATTGTCCTACTTTGAAACATTCCTTATTTGGTAAACAAATCTATACAAAACAGTGTCAAACAGTGTAAAACAGTGTCAAACAGTGTCGTTACAGTACCAAAAAGTGTCGCTACAGTGTCAAACGGTGTCGCTACAGTACCGAACAATGTCGCTACAGTGTGAAGTCAACTTCATTTTTCTTAATCTGTGTGAAGGTCAAAACCAGACGATTAATTCGGGACGGAGGGAGTATCTTCCATATATGTTGGAAAATTTGACTAATTCACATTTTCATTAGTCTTCTCGTAATAATCTCAGTTTAAAAATATTTCACCTTTACACACCTCATCTTTTACTGCGTATTTATTAATCCTTGACCCGTTGATAGACCTGTTTTGTTTTTCCCTTGAAAACATTAAATAAAAAATCTCACATTTCATCCATATTTCTACAATCTCGTATATCAGTTTTTCCTTTTTCTCAATAGAAGTTTTATCCTTTTGTTTTCTATTTTCTCGGCACTTCTCCTCTTTTCATTTTCTTGTTATTTTATTTATTTTCTCTATTTACGTATTTCCTATATGCCCTATTAGAAAAACATTTTTTGTAGGATTGCGCTCAATAGTTTTTTTCCTTTCTTCTTATTCTACATTTTTACTCAATTTTATCTTCTAGCTTTTTATGCTCTTTTAGCTTTTAATCTTTTATCTTTCTTATATTCTTATGTTATTGTTATCTTATATTTATTTATTTTTATCTTATTTGTTTTATCATTTTTTTTCTTGTCTGTCTTCTCTTTTTGGCATCGATATCATGGATCGTTTCATGTTAGGCGACCCCAAAATCTTTTGGGATTAAGGCTTGGATGTTGTTGTTCTCAATTTTTTTCTTCTTTTCATATCTTATTTCCCCCTGATTTTTTCTTTATATTTTTCGTTTTTTCCTTCCCTAATTTTGTTATTATAAAGAGTTTACCCAATACTTCATGAAATTAATGAGTGGACTAACTTAAAAAATACAATTATTCGTAAAATATAACAAATATATTGTTAGTGGAATTAAGGTAACAAGAAGAAGAAAAAAAGAACAAGTGAAAATAAAAGGGAGAAAAAATTGCTCAAAATAAGACTAAAACATGAAAAAAATGCTAAAATAGGACTACGTATGACTTCTTCTCAAAATAGGATATTTTACTCCTATTAAAAGATTAAAACTCTAAACTTACCATAATATGAGTGAATAAATCCTATTTAGGGTAGAGAACAATGACACTCTGTTTGAGAAATTGTATTTGGTTTTCCTACCTTTTCATCGGTCCCCTTCTATTCTTTTTAACTTTTTGTGATAATCTTCGAGCTCGTTTGGTAACACTGAAATTGGCTGAATTGGTTGATTCTTCTGAAATTTATGAAGTTCTGGTTGAAGTGACTGTATTGGCTGACTCTACTGATTTATGGAAAAAAAATATTTGAAATATTTGTTATTAGGAGTAATAAATAAATAAAAAATTATATTAAAAAATAGCTAAAATGATTTTCTACAGTAACTTCAGCATGTATAGTCAGAAAAATAACTTCAACCTTACGTTTTCTTATTAATACACAATTCAGCGTGCAAAATCAAAAGTTACATGTTTGGTGAAAAAGTTGACTGATAAGCTCGGTAAGCCGAAAAAAGGGGTCGCCAAAGAGGCTCTTCGCTTCTCCTAGAACCTTACACTTATTTTTTGGAAAAACTAACTGGAGCGAGTAAGAGTGAGTGTACAGGTAAATGGTAATGAAATTTAAATACTATGTATACAGCAATAAGTTTGGTATTGTTTCTTCTATATACCACACAGATGATGATGAGGAAAAGAGCCTTTTTCAAGGCATTAACAGTTACAGGGCAACGCTAAACTTGACGCACCTAACCGAGAGTGAGAATGCAAAATGCCTTGCTGAGGAAATAGCAGATGAATTTAAAGATCAACTGTGTACTAATACCACAGGTCCCAACACTATTCCTGGCACTGAGCCTAATTTTCACAACTATCCAGATAGTCTTAAAAAGTGCAAATTGAATGTTTCCACAACAAGAGATGGAGCCATATTACCTGCATGTGTTCATCATCTTGACGCTAGTCTTGTTCTCTCAAACTACACTTTCTCAAGTTACTCGGCAAACCTGAATGATACTAGATTTACGGGTATGGGGATTGGTTCAGAAAAAGATTGGATAGTTGTTGTCTTGACAACTGGCACACCAGAGGGAAACTTTGCATCTGATGAAAGTGATGATACTAGTTCAGCCACACTTGTTTTAAAGAAGGTTGGTCTTTTGATCTCCCACACACTTGCAATTATGACACTTCTGGTGTTGTTTACCAGCAGTTGAATCTTCACTCTTATTTCATCACACTTTTAAGTATTAGCTAATCTACTGAGGGTATCCCAAAAAAAGGTGAACAAAATTTGAACCATTTTTTTAGAGTCATGAATCATGATAATCTTCTCTTGGAGAGTGGTTATATCTGTACTTCGCTTGTTTGTGAGCAAATTGTGATTGGTTCTGTAAATTGTTCAGTGTATACATAAAACACAAAAGGGCACATTGCTCTCATGCACCAACATCTAAGTAGGTTTTGGTTTGATCGTTTTGGTTTACAAAGCCGTTCAGTTTTGAAAATTGCAAAACTGAAAAACAAACAAACAAACAAACTTCAATGGGCTTCAGTCGGTTCGATTCAAGTTACTTTCATTTGTTTCGTATCAGTTTTGGTCAGTTTACCCCGGCTTAAAGCCAAAGCCTGAAAGCATGTACAAATTAAACAGCCTATGGTTATCTTGTTACTCTCTTCGTCCTGGATATAACTTGATGTTTGCTTTGGGCACGGTATTTTAGGTTCTCAATTAATAGAACAAATGTTTTGGATGACCTTTGACTTTTGGGGAGAATTAATGTTGTCCATTCAAATGTAAAAAGTGGATGAGTAGTGAAGGGTAGTTAAGACATTTAATGCAAAAGAAGTTGCCTAAAAAGGAAACGTAAAGGAGTAAATGAGACAACCCAAAAAGAAAAGTGTAAAGATTTAAATGGGATGGAGGAAGTATTTTTATTTTCATCTTTCACCTGTTTGGCAAAATGTTTTAATTTTATGTTTTTAGGGTGAAGTCCTAGCATAAACCAATACCAAACAAGTAAGACTCGTACAGTCAATGGTATTAACAAGTACGTAGTAACACTTAAGAACCAGTTGTGGAGAAACTCAAAATCAGGATTTTCATCCAAACAAACTTTTACTGCATTTGCTTGAATTAACCTACAATTGCCCAAATGACTACTTTATATTTGCACCGGGGTTGACTAGGGATGGACCAAACCGGGTCGGCCCGGCCATGAACCGGCCCGGCCCGCCACTGTGAAGGCCCGGCCCGGTTACGGAATGGTCGGTGCGGGCTTTTACCCGGCCCGGGGGAGGCTACCGGTTCGGGCCAACGGCTACATTTTAAAAAAAATCTTTTGGCTACCAAACAGGCCCTTAGAGCCGTTGTGATTGAACCCAAACGGCTATATAGCCGTTGGGAGCCTTCCTGGGGTCCAGGGGTGGGTTAGGGGGGGTGGGGGGGGGGGGGGTAGGAGTACAAAAAAACTATAAATACTCCATTTTTTCTATACAATTTACTACACATCTTCTCCAAATATTCCTACTCTCTAATCTCTATTCTCTACTAATTTATTATTTATATATCTACTTTATACTTAAGATGGAAAATCAAGATGCCGTTATACGGTATAATTTTGATAAGCAGAAGGACCCGAAGACCGGGATGTGGTACGCAACTTGTAAATGGTGCGGGAAAAAATGTAGCATGGGGGTTTCAGGCGGATACGGGATGGCAATGAAGCATATGAAGTCATGTGACAAAGCCAAAGGATCGGGAGGTGCGGGAAGTTCCGATTGATTACAATTTACAAAATGTTTCTCTTGAAGTTTGTTTTAATTTTCAAATGTAGTTCCTATTTCATTTCAAATAAATGCACTTGAAGTTTGTTTTTAATACTTGTATAAAACTATAAACTATAAAAAGTATAAAATATAAATTATATAAAAAAAAATCTTGAACCGACCCGGCCTGACCCGGCGGGGGGCCCAACCCGTTACCCGGGTAGGTGGCCCGGCCCGAACCGGCCCCGTCCAACCCTCGAGCCGGTCCCGGGCCCATATTATACGAACTGGCGGCCCGACCGGGCCCGGCCCGAGCCCGACCCGGCCTGAGTCCATGACTAGGGTTGACACAGGTGCACCCAATATTTACCAAATTTGGATTTAATTAAATTCATCATGTTCACTGAAGTTCACACTCTATCCAAACAGACCATAAGAGCAGTGAGTTCAAATAGTGAACTTCCATATTTAATTGTTTCAATGGTTGGCAAAGTTCATGTCTATCCAAACTCCAAAGGATAAATAAGCAAGTGCTTTGACAAGGCACTAGAATATCAATAGAAATGTTGTTTCAGTTAATGGTTTGTTTGTCCGGCAGGTTCTATATCTATCGAATGTCACTACTTTATCTTTATTTATATAAGTGATTCGATGTTAGATGGTATTGTTACTAATGAACAAATTATTATGCACCACACTAACAAGTAGATTGTACATTCGATTAAATTGTTTTTTAATTAAAATTTATTGGAAGATAATTTTGGGATGAATTTTTATGTTTTCCTTTTGTATAATAACTTGAGTCACCCAATTTCATGTCACTTTTTGTTCTATATTCTTTAAGCACTAACAACTTCAGCGTGCTACGCTTTATATTATACGAATTTAAAATATAAATTATCTGAATTATATTTTGAAACTCAATTTAAAACAAAGAGATTTGTCTATTTATGCGCGCTCTATAAGAGAAGCGACGTTGCCATACATTTTCAAGTTCACACAAAATGAAATCATTGATTTACTAGATATTTTATTTACAATTTGAATCTAACTGTGGGTTTTATTTAAAGGTGAGTGTTACGATACTCATTTAAAAATGGGAATGCCTTACCTATCATGCACTTGATCTTTGAATAATTCAACTATATTATCTCATTTGGTCCCCATACATAAGAGATGGTACCTTAAAAGTACTACAAAATTTGCCTTATTTGAAGAGTACACTCTTTTGATGGCTAGATTTTTAGTACTAAAACATGTATAGTATAGGAGGAGGGTAGCCATCCACATACGCCGGGAGTTATAAAATAAAAAAATAAAGTAGTGGTAGGGTAGGGTGACTTTCCATGATGCATATATGAGAGTGAGCCCATTTTGACGCCAATGATTATTTAGTATTACCCACTTTTAATTGGGTGGTTAAGAGTCGTTGAATGTCCTCCGCAATGTTTAGGGCATCATTAGAGATTCCAGCCAATCCTGCGCTAGCAAATCCCGCACTGTAAATTCCATTCTTGCCCTTCCAATGGTTTGGTGGTTTCTCTCTTGGCATTCCATCCTCGTTGAAAAGCCCATCATCATCTCCCTGATTAAGCAAACAATTCACAATGTTTGAGTTATTGTTATATTGTCATTATTATAATTTATAACAATTTTCCAAAAAAAATGTACTACTTATTTGATTAGAAGAGACAAAATAATAATCACATCTTTTTATGAGTAATTTATTAAAAAACCAAAAAAGAGGAAAAGTGAAAGTAAATACAAACGATCAAATAATCGAATCCGTAGCATAACATATCTTTGTTTGAGATATTTATTGAAAGCCAGGAAAAAACTAACTTTTTATACTCATTTTCATTTCATATAAAAATGTATGATTCTGAGAAAGCTAATAAAATGAAGGTACTAAATATAGTGAAGCTAATAAACTAAATAAATTGAAGGCTGACTCAGCACTAAATTTTGCCAAAATAAAAACCTCAGCACCAAATCTTTCTTTCCTTTGATATAGGAGTTTACAAAACTAAATAAATAAGAGTAAGATAATGTGATTTCCCCGAGAAGTATGTCTTTATCTTTTTTTTTAACCCAGAAGGCAAACCACCAAAATTAGTGGGGTAAATGTCGGGTGTCATTTACCAGATTTTTATTTGAAATCAAAGAAAATACACGAGAGGAGAACTGACCAAAACCTCTCAAAAAGTATGTCTTTATCTTATAACAACATTATAGCAATATAATAGTGTCATAATAATGCATTGATATAGCAATACAGTGTACGATTTTATGATGAAAATTGTTCTGATTTGGGAAGGAAATCACGGTACTTGTGTTTTAGAAAACCGCCTTATTTTTAATCGTTTTTTGGTAAATTTTCCTTTAACTTTTTCAACAATTTAGATATACTCCGTACATATTTAAAATATCATCAATTTAGTAAAGAATCCCTAAAATTTGTAAAAATCGACACAAAATGCTATTCAATTTGAGATCATAAAGTGAATCGGAAGTGACCAAAGAATGTTGTTATATTTCACATTGAGTGGGAAAGTTATTAAAACAACAAAGAATGTTGTTTTATGTGTCTGACCTCACACAATTATTAATAAAAATTATGACAGAAATTTGAATATAATAAAATGAATATGTGTAGGCCACATATTTCTTTTCTTTTTAAAAGAGTAAATAATAGTAGAACTATATATAGAAGCATACCATCAACCATTTCCTCACAGTGCTTCGATACCCGGTAGCAAATACGATAGCCTCGAACTCCTCTGTCTCCCCATTCTCAAATTCAACACGATTTTCAACAACCTTTTTTAGTGCTGGAATAACCTACAGTTTATCACAAATAATTAAAATTTAATGGATTAAATTGCAAGCAATTTTTGTAGGCCTGGATTATATACGCCCATATTTGTACTATTATCTTTACAAATTACACATCAGAAATTTTCAATTGAATTGAATTGAATATTTTAAATTAAATAGGTGTGATAAAACCTAATTAGGCGGGCAAGAGAAGAGATAATCACCTTAATTACTCCACTTTTGATTTTGCTGGATGTTCCAACGTCAATAACGGGTGATCTCCGTGTGGCCCGCTTGGTATAAAATGGGCCTTTAATGGGCCTTTGTAGCCCGTATGGAGAAAGGTCTCCGAACCTCCACATGCTTAAAGCCACCACTAATTTATCCACGATATCCATAGGGATGAATTTTAGCAAAGTCATGCCTAGTTGTACCATTTCTTTCGTAACAACATGCACCTACATGCATCATATCATCATATGTTAAAAAACATTTAATTCGCTTTTCCTTTATTTGGTAAAAATCATGTAATAAAAAATTTAATACCATATTCAATTCTTTTACGAAGTATGATACAAGTTTGCAACGCTCCGTTCTTTTTTAATTGCAACGCTCCACTTTTCACGTTTGACAACACACAAGTTTGACCATTAATATCTTTCCTTCCTTATTAGTAAACAAAAAAAAATCAAATTTGATAATTTAAAACGAGAGAAATTTAAAAATATTTTTTAAAAAGTTAATTCTTAATACATTAATAAATAAAATATTGTCAAAGTAGAATATATGAATAGTGCAAAAATTCCAACGTTGAAATTAAAGAGAACGGAGGTAAAAATGAAAATTGATATAGTATTGGAAAACAGTGCGAACTATAGAAATACA